ACGGGACACGTGGTACAAGTCTCCGATAGTCTAGTGATCTCGTTTTGACGCGAACCTTTGTCTGGCTCATGTTTATCCTGAGCCCCAACCTCCCAGCAGCCTGCTTCGTGCAGCTTAGTCAATCATTTCCTGAAGTTTGTTCCCGGTGGACATTTAAAAGTGACGGATGCCATCGGCAAATCTGAGATGCTTCGTGTTTCCTCCCTTAATATGCATTGCCTTTTGTTCTCCAAGCATAAATAATAAACAAGAGGTCATTTGGGTGTTGGTATCTCGGCTTGAAACATTCGGAGGATTTACGCATTTTTTGTTTGAATTATTATTAAGATGAGCTCAGTGTTGAGGGTCCTGCAACTCCAGGAAGAGGTATTGCCATTGTTGAGTGTAACTTTTTAATCTATTATTTATTATATTTATTTTACCAGGTAAGGCCCAATGAGCTATATAGCTAATTATCAGAAGCGACCTGGCCACAAATGATACCTCAACGAAGTGGCTTATCATGACGTGGACACTTTTAATGCAGCCAAACACTCTAAACGCGTGATGTCGATTTCAAATGTGGAGGGAAAAACCGGAGGACCCGGAGAACAATCCACGCGGCCACGGGAAGAGAGCGAGACACGCAAACTCCAAATATACAGCAGCAGCAGGCGTCAGGTCCGGATCGAACCCACGACCTCCTGCATACCAGGCGAGGTAGTTAACATCTCCTAGCCACCGTGATGATGATGAGAGAGAGAGACACGCAAACTCCAAATATACAGCAGCAGGCGTCAGGTCCGGATCGAACCCACGACCTCCTGCATACCAGGCGAGGTAGTTAACATCTCCTAGCCACCGTGATGATGATGAGAGAGACACGCAAACTCCAAATCTACAGCAGCAGCAAGCGTCAGGTCCGGATCGAACCCACGACCTCCTGCATACCAGGCGAGGTAGTTAACATCTCCTAGCCACCGCGGTGCCCTCCACGCTAATGCAGATCTAGAGGGATAATTGGCCATACTTCACCATGGCGGTGATTGCGGCTTGATGAAGGAGGAGGGGGGCAGAGTTTAAATCAACGATGGGATTTTTGTTGTTGTTATTCCCTAACCCGCTGCTGCCCATAACGCACACTGACGAAATAGAGGGGGGGGGAGGTGCATTCCGGGGAGATTTGGTCATCGGCAAAGCAAATGCAACGGCATAATAACACGGTAAATATTATGGTATTGTAATGTTATATATACACACACACTCACACGGCAAAAACGATCTGCATCGGCAGCGTGGACTGCAATCGCCCAGCAGTGGCTAGAGAATGATAATTATCACGCAATGGTGTTAACGCGCAATTCCGTAGCAGCATACTTTCAACAACAACAACACAGAGCGATGTGGGTTAATTGCAGTGCTGGGTAAATAGTCTGTTGATTGCTCGTGAACATTAATAACAGATTTCAGGGCGTGTGTGTGTGTGAGACACGTGAAAAACAAATCACACGCACACTCACACACAACATTTCAAATGGATCATGATGTCTGTGCATCCTGGTGCAGCGGTTAGTGCGCTACGCTGCGCTACGAACCCGGCGACCCGAGGTTCGATTCCCGCTCACGGCAAATACCAGCGACGATTATCTGAACCGGGTCCTGGGCCTCCCCTAAGTCGACTCGGCCTCAAATGAATACCTGGTGCGATGTGTTAATATCGCAACTGGGGAGACAAAGGCGGCCTGGCGTGGTGCTGGCCACCCACCACCTCGTGTGCCGTGCCGGCCTTCATAGGTGCTCGCTAACAGCACTTGCCCCAACAGTATGTTACAGGCGACGGGTGTGGATCTTTGTCTTCAATGCTTCCGAACTGTACCTTACGACACCCGCCCGATGCGAACCCACAGCCCCGCCTCGTTGATTGCATCTCCTCTACCTCCACCCCCATAGGCAACTTGCCCTTATTCATCGGAGGTTACAGGAAGTTTAGTCACCCCCAACTCAGAGTGTGATGATGATGAGTCGGCACACTTTCTGTGCTCGGTCCCCGGGGTGAAATTGGCTCCAAAAGAAAGGAGTGAGCAACTGAATGCAACCCGGTCGCTTTGATCTTGTTTAGAATCGGAATGTGTTTTTACACTGGATAAATCCGATGAGCTATGAAGCTATTTTTAAATCCTTTATATTAAGTTCACTTGTTTGCTTGCGCGCTTACGACCGTGCAAATCTTTCGGTCGCTTTTTAACCCACTTCTCGTGATCCAATCGAGCTGACATTTTGCACACAGACTCGTTGTGCGTGACAATTTATTTTCGTGAAAAAACATTTCCATAACTTCACACATTTTAGGAATTTTTTGTTTAATATTTCATTACCAATTGCTTAATGATGGCAGGCAATCATCTGACCCATAGGTGGCAGCCATCTCAAGCCAGAGGATGAGAGGACTCTAGCCGCCACGCATATAAAGGATTTATAGTGAAAAACTTTGTTTTTACGGGTTAATTTTTTCACAGTTCTTTATAGGAGGGGGGTGGATGGGCTATAAATATCCAAATGATGGGTCACTTTGGTGAGTTATCATTTGTGGCCAGGTCGCTTTCTGAAAAAATAAGTTAAATACCCCCAGTGGGCTTTGCCTGGTAGGATTGGGATGGTTTCGTTTTATTCGTTTGTGTGTTTGGGTGATTTGTTTACATTTCCTGAACATTGCACTACTATCGTGTTTATTGTCCTCTTTGTTGTTGTAAACGTTCCTACCCCGTGTCCTTACTGGACATCTGTGAAAAAAAGAGCTTTACAGCTCATAGGATTCCTCTTGCAGTCTAAATAAGTATTGTGATTATTCTGAATCTAAAAGGGGTAGCCGCACAACATAGCCAAGCGCGCACTCCAAACAAATGTTAAACGCTCAACGGAATTCCCGACGAATACGATCAGCCTCTGCATATCGCGCCTTCTTCTCTAGCTCTACGTCTCTCTCTCTATCTCTCGCGCCCTGTGCATGTGGAGAAATTGCGAGCGCCACGGTATCGCTTGGTTGTACAAATTGTTTTGCTGATCGATGATAATCTAGTACGGTGGCGTTTTTGTCTTCAGGATCGGGTTCGGGGATGGGGGGTAGGGATGGCTCGCCCCACCCACCCTCACCTCCAATCCTCCCTTCTTACAGCTTGCTTAAGATGTCACTGTTAATGATTTCCATGAGCCTTCACTGACCAGCGTGGTGAAGTATGGTCGAATCTAATAAACACTCCCTCCCGCCCCACCACGACCTTCATGGCATGGGGTTGGCCCCCTTATCCAGTGGTGGTAGGTCAACAATAGGGCTGCAATATGTGCATGCGGTTGATTGTGATGAATGAAACAACACTGAGAGTTGACAATGAGTGTCATCCCCCCCACCCACCCCCCGACCGATTGAAATGCAATGCAAATTGGACACTTTGTTTTTGCACGCAGCCGTCTCCTCCTCCAAGCAGGGCTGGAATCCCAACCCTTCCCTTCCCGCCCCCTGCTGCCCGCTGTGGTGAGAGCACACTCGTTCTAAAGCAAGTGCTTCTTCTTCACCTGGGGCTCACGCATCACTTGGGGGGTGCGAGATGCCCTTTCTGGGGGGAAGGGGGCGGGGTTTAGCGAGACATGGCCATATTTTTTTGTTCGAAGGGAAATAATTCACTGATCAACAATTTTTTGTTTTGTTTTCTGGCCTGGACTTTTGCAGCTGTTTTAGACTAATTTCAGGGTGCTGATTCCAAATCTGATCTCAGATTTGCTCTATCACATTCTGATCATGTGTAAATGCTTACTCCGAGCTCTCATACCTGGTGGTGCATTGTATTTGAGTTGTGCGCGTTTTGGCGTCATCTGGTCCAACACCATGTGAGACTAGGCTCTAGGAAAGGCTGTCTCGGGTGTGGACCAATCAACTTCAAGGACAGTGCATACATTATTAGAGTTGTGGTTTTCTTTGCATTCCGACCGCAGGTATTGTGGTCAATGCAAATATGACTCCTTGTAAAAAAGGTGTCAGTTTTGTTGCCAGATAAAAGGGTAAAAAACAATTATCACAAGTTGGTTAAAATAATAATAAATGAAACGGAATAGCGTCAGTCAGAATTGTCAACCATAATTCTCATGTCTGGTGTTTGATGCCAATTAAGAAGGCAGATATGGTTATTCACATATGCAGGCAGATGTCCAAGCTTGCATTTAACTCCCCCAATCCTAACTACAGGATGGTCCAGATGTCTTGTGACCTCCGATTGCTTCTCTAAAACTTAATATTTGTTCAAGTAATGCTTATTTAAAAGGGAAACTAATATGCAAAGGAATGCATTTACGATGAAGAATAATACATTATTGAGATGATTTGTGGTGCTAATAAATGTACAAATGACGGGTCACTTGGTCGAGCGATCATTTGCGGCCATGTGGGGATGGTTTCGTGTTGTATTTGTACGTGTCGTGTTTTTGTACTGTTCGTTGTTGTCACGTTTTTACCCCGTGCCCCTCCTGGACATTTGTGAAAAAGAGCTTGAAAGCTCATCGGATTCCTCCTGCAGTCTAAATAAATATTCTGTTTCTGATTGGGGGGTGAGCACAAGACATCTGGACCACCCTGTAGAACACAAACACAGTGCAATACGACGCAGTGTCCCTGAGCCCCGAATTTACCTTGGAGCACGCATCGACACGCTTTGTACGAGCGTAGACGTGCAAATAGCACGCACATTTTGTGCACGGGTTTTGCGTTTGTTAAAGGGGAACTAAGTGTGAGTGGGAGATAAAAAAAGTAAAATAAAAACCGAAACTGGTTAGGAGAACTGGTGGCCTTAGGGCGGAGTGGGGGGGGGGAAGATGTCTCTAGTTTCCTGAAGCGGGTGGCGGTGGTTTGTGGTGGTTGTCCGTCAAGACCCTCCCTCTGTGGCCCCCATCACCCCCCCTCCTGGCAGAGACACGTGTAAATCATACAGGCGGTGGCTTTTGCAGCATTTCTCTCTCTCTCTGCCAAAGCAGGAAACCTCACTTTAGGAGGAGGTCGCGTCCGAGCTTCGTGCAACAAAGGACGTTGTTGCTGAGGCCGGACCACACACGGTTTTTTTTTCTGCGTGACTTCGGGTTTCCTGTGTTCGCATTCTATTTGCTTGCTGGTGCTGCCCGCTGCTGCTGCTGCTGCTGTTGGTGTGTTGTGAATTTCAACTGATAGCCTCCTAGTTTTTTTGTTTGGTAGCGCTTGCCGCGTCCATCCAATATATGTCAAGTATCGTGATGTTCGGAGGGGGGTGTGGGGTCGGTGGTGGGTGGTGCCACAGCGCGACCGAGCTGCGGATTGCACAATAAACGGTGGCTCGGGGCGTATTAAGGGACACTTTTAAGCGTGAGTTCAACCGCGGGATCGTCATTTAGAGGCGGTCACATCAGCAGCAGCGGCGGCGGCGGCAGCTTGCACGTTTTGATGCAGCGAACGACCAAAAAAAAACGAGCCGAGGTTCATTCATTCACGCGGTTTCTTCTTTTTTTTCCTCCTGTGTGCGTGTTATCAAACGGACGGTAGCAAAACAAAAGGTCGCTCTTGCACCGCAACTAGAAAGAGGGCGGTTTGTTCTTTTAATTGTCTGAACGCGATCTGGATCGGAGCAACAGCAGAAACTCGGCAGTGGGTTTCATCATCCGAGCTGTTGTGTATGAAGCTTGCGAGCAATGGACAAGAGTAAAGGTGGGTTACGTGTATGTTTGTATATGTCTGTGTGTATGTATGTTTAACTTCCTTCGCGCAGCTTACGTAGCCAACCGTGCTAATCGAAGGCTGCGGCTGTTTGAAGGGCATCAAACTAGACGCACGAAGCAGTTCTAAAGCAAAGAGTTTTCAATCTTGATTTGAAAGTGCACATAGCTCCAGCGGCTTACTAATATCGGAAGAGAAGAGCGTTCCAGACGGCCGCAGAAGCGCACCTGAAAGCGCGCGATGCCCACGGACAGTCTTCGGTTCGATTGTTGGTTTATTCTCATTGACACATGCGCTTACATAACAGATTCAACCCAAGAAGAAGCCGCACGTTCAGTTGCTCTCTGTTACTCTTTGTATTGTTTTTGTGTGATCTTGCGAATTTGCCAGTTAGGTAAGTGGATGGGTAAGGTGGAGGAGGGAAATGGTAGTTTGCCGGCAACCCTGAGTTCGATTCCTCACCACGGCTAACATCTGTGAGTGGCAAGCGGTATTGGTGATCCGGTAAATGCCCCCCCCCACCCCAACTCCTTTCACCGATTGCCCTTAACATGAACCCACACTTACTACCCAGCTTGGTGAAGTATAGTCAAACGGCAACCGATGACCGGTCGTGAACCGACACAAGGCTGTAAATTATTATTACAAATTCAGAACCCGTTAGGTGCTGGCTGGCATGACTGAGAACGTGTACGCACATCCTGTTTGCTCAAAGGCCCAGCAGCTCTGCTAAGCTTAAGCAGTGTAATGTGTGGCTCCTTTTGTCTGGACGGTGAAACGTGCTCCCGCCCATTTCACTGGGATGTCCTCTTTTTGTTTGAATACTCGCGGTGTTGGCGACGGTTGTTGTTGTTGTTCTTGTTGGAGGGCATCACTTTAATAGCAGAACACGCTTGTAACGTGGTCTCGTTTTGCAAGGATGGAATGCATGAAGACAAGCCAGAAAAAAACGCATCAGGGGGGGTTGGTAGGCAGGTCGGTAAATATGCAGCTCTGCGTTTCGAGTGGTAACGCGGTGTTTTTTTATGGAAGATTTGCTGGTTTATCCAGGATGTTTCTGTTGCGCGTCGTCGCTTTAAGATGTTCTCTGTTCATAGTTTGCTTGTTGCGGTTGCACCCGACTCAAGAGCCGCATGGCTCACAGGGCTATACCTGATGAATGAAACTTGAAACGTGAATTGCTGGGGTTTCACGCCGTTGCCTCCACTCGAAACGCTTCTCTACGGAGCAGGGGTGGCCAAACCTTGAATGGACCAAGATCCAAAAAGTAGCCGTGAGTTCTGCAAAGAACCAAGTGTACACACCATTGGAACCTCATTTGCCAGTAACAAAATATGATAATTGTTTTTTTACCCTTTTATCTGGAAACAAAACTGACACCTTTTTTTACAAGGAGTCATGTTTGCATTGACCACAATACCTGCAGTCGGAATGTAAACAAAAACATAACTCTGATAATGTATGCACTGTCCTTGAAGTTGATTGGTCCACACCCGAGACAGCTTTCTTTAGAGCCTAGTCTCACATGGGTTGGACCAGATGACGCCAAAAGGCGCACAACTCAAGGACAATGAACCATCAGAGTATGAGAGCTCGGGGTAAGCATACTCATACTATGATGGTTCATTGTTCTTGTCTGTCTCGGGTGTGGACCAATCAATTTCAAGGACAGTGCATACATTATCAGAGTTATGTTTTTTGTTTGCATTCCGACTGCAGGTATTGTGGTCAATGCAAACATGACTCCTTGTAAAAAAGGTGTCAGTTTTGTTGCCAGATAAAAGGGTAAAAAAAACAAGTGTACACATTATAAGTGCACTGTATGTATGTTGATAATTTTCGGCACAGCACGGGAGACGTTCATTATACGTTGCTACTGCTTGTGATAGCACGTTCTACGTGATGCCCCCCTTCGATAGAGCCGCACGCTGGTGGATTACAGAGCGGCATGCGGCTCGGGAGATGCCAGGGTCGCCAGCACTGCTCTTGAGGATATGTGGCTACCTGTTGTCCTCGCATGTTAAACACCTTTAACCCCCCCCCCCCCCCACCGTATCACACGCGACCTTGTCGTCTAAACAGTGGTGGTGTTTGTAACCAACTCGTGTTGCTTTGGTGGACGGGAGCTGGTGGAAATTCAATATCGCTTTGCCCATTGGTTTGAACCGCTGTGTGTTGTTGTTGTTATTGTTGTTGTTCTTGCTGCAGCATTATTTACGGCCTGAAACAGCAGCTACGCGACAACACTCGGGGCGAACTTGCCGTGCGTTAGCAACAGCAGCAACAACAACAACCACTACAACACAGGCCTCCCCTAGTCTGCGTTTGGCAGCAATTGGGCGCTTTAGGTGGGAGGTGGTTGTGGGGGATGGAGGATGATGCGCGATGGCTGTCAGGTTATAAACATTCCTGCCCGCGGGACGGCGGACGAGCACTCTCGCAAGTGGCACGCGCGCGATGCCCCGAGAAAGCTGGGGGAGGTGACTGCGCCCAGTCAGTAGCGCGTGTGCAGTTGGCATAAGTTTGCGGCTGTGTCACGCTGGGCTTTGTGGCATTAATAAACAACAACAACAACAAACAAAAGACCTGCACTCACACTTGGCTTACACGAACGAACACTTTTGTAGTCGCGTGCCTTGAGAAATTCGACTGGTACTGTCAACTGGTGGAGCAAATTGATTCGGTGTTCTTTGCTATATATACAGGATTTTGTAATTTTTGAAAACTTAAATACTCGTTTTTTTTAAGACGCTGGCTTTAAATGCAACGCATGCAACGCGCGCAAGGAGGAGGAAGAACGCCGCGTCACGGAGTGTGCGGAGGCCTTCATCTAACAGTGGATAGACACTGGCTGATGGCGGTTTAAAAAGCGGTTGTTGTAGTCTGTGGGTTGTGTAGTCGGTGGTTGTGGCCCCGTGGTTGTGCATGGGCCCTTGGTGCAACGATGGAAACGGGACGCCTTGTCTCGGTAGCCTGGCGTACAGGCCCTTCTGACCCTTGAACCCTGGCGCAATTGCAGCGCCTGCACACTTGATAGCGCGGCCCGCTGACCTGATAACGGGAATCGATGGGGGTGTAAAGCGCTGTGCTATTAATCCCGTCGATCCGAGTTCAATTCGAGGCCACGGCTATCAGTTGCGGAGTGATATCGGCTTCGGTCATGTCAGCCTTGGTGAAGTATGGTGACACAAAAAGAACCTGATTACCCGCTTTGCTGTGTCTTGCAGTATTCCACTCCCAGCACAAATGTTGCTTCAGTTCGTGTGACTTGGTGCATGGGGTAATACTATAAAGTATAAAGCAAACAGTGCATTGACAAACGGACTGTGATTGATTATGACACTATCCCTGAATTAAGTGTGATCCTGTCGGTAGGAAAACCCACCGAGATTGCTCAATCTTACCGCATGTGACTGCTCGGGTTATTTTTAGGGAGTTCGCAATTAATTGTCGCTGCTGCTGCTGCTGTCATTAAATTTCCGTGGGAAAATGACGTCGGTGACAGGCCCCGTCGTTTACGCTCGTGACGAGTGCAGTCGAAGCGCGCGCGTGAGAACCGACGATGTGCTCTGTATGCAAATAATGCGTGCTAATGATGTTGCTAATTGTTACTGAAAACTAAGAATGTTTTAGTATTTTACCAGGTAAGGCCCACTGAGCTATATACCTCTATTTCAGAAGTGACCCTGGCCACAAATGATAACTCAACGAAGCGGCTTATCATCACGTGGGCATTTATAGCAGTCAAATACTCTCAACGCACGTGGAGGGAAAAACCGGAGGAACAGGAGAAAAATCCATGCCACCACAGGTAGAGGGAACGTGGAAACTCCAAATATACATGCAGGGGTCAGGGTCGGGATCGGACCCACGATAACATCTGCCACCAATGAGAAAACAATAAAAACGGGGAGGGGAAAGAGGAATTGATTCTCTTGAATAGTATCGTGACCACAGCAGTTCCGTGACTGCATCACATCATTTGGGGATTTGCCCAGTGACAAGCGCAGTGTTAGTCACCCCCTTGTGACCTCATGTGCAAAACTGGGACCTCCGTTGTGCCATATCAGCGCAGACATCAAATTAGGCAATTACCTGCGATTCTAAATAAATTGCGCTGTTGCCTTGCCAACACAACTAGGGTCGGTTGGGTGTCATTTGCGAGAGTGTGGATACACCGAATTGACTTGACTTCTATGATTAAAAAAAAGTACGTTCTACGGTATAAGACGTTCACATCGACCGGCGAGTCGAAACGGCCAATCGATGCGTCGTCTGCAGGAGTAATTTTATTCGCAGCGCTGATTGTGCACGTCGACCGTGCGTTTAATCTCTCAATTCGCGGCGCAGAACATCCCCATTGTTCACGTGTAAACCCAGCGGAGCTGTCATTCCTGCAAAACGTTTGCCCTCATTCCGCCAGCAGCCAATGGCAGGGGGCAGTCGTTACGCTTTGGAGCATCGTCATAGCGACGTCTCGGCCAATCGGGTGCAGGGGAGGTGGTGGTGGGGGCGGCCCACGTGTGAATTTAGTCTTTGCTGCTGACAGGTTTGAAATTTTCCTTTTGAATTCTGTGAAATGTCCGCTAAATCGCTGCCGTTGTTGGGTCAAGGGGCCAGCCAATTCCGATAATAAGACTTCTGCTTCTTCCAAACGTGAGACTTTGATGGCCTTGACGGGTAACGGGAGTCTGCCCGGTCGACTCATTGCTGCCGGTGGTGTTTCCACACACGGAGTCTGGCGCGTGGGTGCAGTCACGATACAGCGAAAGCCATCGAAATTAAATTACGTTGCAGAATTGCACAAGCGGCGAGCGACAGCGTCCGTCCGTTCGCCGAATGACTGATGCAGAGCTTTTCCCCTTTTTTGTATCCTGTTCGTTAAAGGGTTGATAAGACCTGAAATATTTAAACAGAAAACCATCAATGCTGGCGTTGTTTTTTTTTTACTTTTCTCTGCAAGCCGAAGCTCGCTCCTCGAAATGGCCATC